AGCCACCGAGCGAGCTACGATTTCGCAAGTAATAAATTCTAGACATTCTTAGCTTTTTGACTGTAAATCAACAGAATCAAGAAACCAAAACCAGCAAGTCGCCCGGCTGGGCCACCTAGACAATAGGGAGTTTAAGATACGGCGGCTACGGACTACGACTACGGTTAAACATGCTACTGCGCATGATCAAAACCACGTGACTGTTTATTTTTCCCGCGTAGTCCTGCGGCTACGGTGAGTTGTTGAGCTGTTTCGCGTAGTCGGGACTACGGAGAACATTTTGCTCGTATTTTGCTTTCTCGGTGATTCAAGAATCTCGTCTTTTCGTGAGAAAGTTTTCAATTCACCTGCTTTAAGTGAGGGGGAAGCGAATTATGTAAGTTGTGCCTAATTTCTGCTCAGATTTACGCTTTTAATCCACCGTTGTGACTACATTTTTATCTAGCTAAGCTCATATTTAAAGGAGCTTAGCTGTTTATACGCAGAATTCAGATTGTTGGCCGAGGAGAAGAGAAATCATGCAGGCAATTTACTTTCTCTTCGCAGTTGAAAAGTTTCAATGTTTGTTCGAACTGATTAGTGTGTCTTTCTACTTGTGTGACCTTTGTTTATGCGAGTTTTTGTATCGCATTTGCTGAATGAAAATGATGTAAACATCTTCGAGACAATCGAAACTCGGCATTTCAATACTTCAAACTACATCAGATCAGTAGTCGGAGAAGTCCATCTTCTAAATCTAATAAATGAGCTATTACTATTTCTGTCTATTTCTTTAATACTTTACATAAGTATTCATGGGCGAAAAAAATAAAAAAAAACTACGCGAATCGACTTGTACGTAATTGCTTCCTTCACGTATGGAAGAATTTGTTCATTGTTCTATAGATAAGATCACATGCAAAACTGACTTGCATTTTTGTGAACTGTGATGAAAACAAGAAAATCTTTGCGTGTTGTTTCCCTCTCCGCCTCTTCTCTCGTAGTCTACCGTCTGTAGTGCAATCTTAACGTTCTATATTTGCACGACTCAACCCAGTGCTACAAACAAACGACAACGCTCGTCCAGCCGTAGTTCGTAGTCCGTAGTGTCCGTATTTTAAACTCTCTAATATTTCAGTCGCCCGAGGCCAAGTCTTGCGCCGTTAGATCTAGAGCACAGCCTTAAGTCTTCGTCCTCCTCTACGCTGCTTAATACTAGCGTAATTTTTCCTTCTTTGATGACGCAGTATCTTTTTTCTGCTTGTGCAATCCAACCTGACTTGCACGTGATTTGAAGTTGCAGCCAATAAAAATCACCCAATTTTTCGGGACGGGCACGGGATACGGGAAAGTTAAAAAAGCGAGGCAATTTTTGACTCCCAAGACGACGAAAGGAATGCGCTCCCGAATTTAAGACGCTGNATATTAAATCTCACGTTTAGTCTGCAATATATAATCAGATGGTAAAAGGTGTATATTAACAGGACTATGAAATGTCTAAAAAGGCTACAAAAACGAAGTATCGATGATAATTTAAGACAATTGGTATTAATAAGACAAGATCGTGTTCTTGTAAATTAAAGTACTTGCTTCTTTACAAGTGATTCTGGAATTTTTTTTTTTTTTACTTTTCCAAAAAAATGGGTCGGTCGGGCGATGGGAAACGAAGCATTAAATTGGGATGGCCTAAAACAATTTCCAAAATCACCTATCCGGCTAGCCGGTTCTCACTTTTGACAAGCGCCAAAGTCGTCTGTTTAAATTAAGATTAATAGAGTTATACGCTTCAACATAATAAAGAATTTATTACGTTTATTTTTTATTTAATGGTTTTATAACGCTGTGTAATCTTCAAAAGCGTTTGATACGCGCGGCATTTTCACTACTCCTGCAAGAGATGTTCATGAGCGACTGAAAACAAACGGCACAGCGATTGAAATTGCAAAAGAGACTACTAACAATCAATAAAAGGAAAATAATTGGGTGAAAAATGTACAGAGACATCAATTTCATTCACGAAGACAAGTAAGTGTCTCTGGAAATCCTTGTTTATGTTTAGCCGGCTTCCCGGTGTTTGCTTTTTTCAAAGATGAACTCGAGGCAAGAAAATCGCTCAAAGCTTTCTTTTACAGACAGAATTATAACTAAATATTCTTTGGAACGTTTTCTTTCTATTTGCGGTGAGAAAATGTCTAAAGTTCTATAAGCTTATAATCAAACCTGATACTCGGTCAGATCATTGTCTCAAATCTTACAAACGTGCATAAACCAAATAGCCGCATAAACTACGCTCGACTTCATTAAATTAGATTTAAAAAACAAACATCAAATACACAAATACAATAATTACTCAGGCTTAGCATTCGAGATGCACTGAAAACTATCAAGTAAGGTCAGAATCGCTTCAGACTTTTTAACCCTCTTACGCATCAAGCAAGGTGAAAAACGCAAACGATGCCCTCCGAAATCGGATTTCCGACTTTGCCAAAGCGACGTATTTGTCAACAAAAACCCAATAAACAAACTAGCCATGAATAACAGAAGACTCTTGATAGCAGCTGAATTTCACTTTGTTCATTCAGTGGAAAACGACAGTTAAAAGCATCACAAGTTGACACAAAACTCTGTCAGCTTCAGCTGTCAAAGTAAACAAGATTTAAGATGCTGCATAAATTTTCAGCATGAACTCAATTGTCAATTTTTGACCAATCAGAGTATAAAAATTGGACTTAGAGCGTGACCAACGCGTGACCTTGGTGAGAAAAGTCAAAAGCAACTGGCATGTCTTCCCTTCCTGTAAAAACTGGCTGAATGTTAGCTTCCGAGGTCAGTTTGAAATCAAAATTTCAATTGTGCGGCACATATAAAACACAACGTATTTCATATGAATTAAAAAAAAATTAAACTTGAGCCTGCGATCATTTGAAAACTAGTAACTTGTCAGCGGATAACTCCAAAAAGATACTCGACCTCGATGGGTCGACACCTGAGCCTGCGATATGGCAGGTGATACTGATCAGCGGATACCCTGTATTGACAGCTGTCAATTGATCCCAACATTGATGTGCAATATGTGTGCAGTATCAGCCTTCCTGTGCTCCCAAACTAGCTAGAAAGTGTGAGATTGAACATTGGTTACCCTGCGGTGCGGACGGACGGGCGGGCGGTGTACGGTCACGTGATTACCAAATTTTCTGGGATGGGTAGATTTACTTACCCATGGTGCTCCAATAACGCAACAATGGGTTTTACAGTAAGCTTTATTTTATAATGAACAGTTTAGAACAACGATAATGTGTGACATGTTTAGGGAAGCGTTACATTTGTAAAACTTTTGCGATAATCATTCACATCTCGCGTCCCCCGCTTCTCTGTTTTGACGTCCCCGCGTCCCCGTCCCACACGTCCCCGCGTCCCATACTTGATGTCCTTGATGTACTTGAAGTCCCTCGTCTCGCGTCCCCAAGTCCCAAGTCCCCACACACGCGTCCCGATGTCCCCGTCCCCTTGTCCCCGTCCCACTTTTATACACAGCCAGATAAAAGGTATTTTCTGCATTTTCCCACGTATTAAAAATTTGCATACTAAAAAAAGCATGCAACGGAAGTAATTTTGGTTTACTGATTCGGCATATGTCAATCAATCAAAAAAGCGGGCGGCAGACGTTTCGTAGAAGGTTTGTATCAGGCTCTCTTTTCGTTTCGCCTTGCCTGCCGGAATGTTATGCATCAGTTAATTCCAGCTGCGCCCAGCTCCCCCCCCCCCGGGCTACTGCGGGGCATTTGCTTGCCTTGTCAATCCCGGGGGTGGGGTATTTGCAAATTCTGCGCTGCCCGAGGGCCGGGCATTTACCAACCCCGAGCTTTTGACACGCACGCGGTTTCCTATCAGAATATAACTACACAGAGGATTTTACTGGAATAACAAGCAGATTGGCTCATTTGTCAAGGACGGCAAAAAATTGAAGAGGTTTGTAAAGGCATGTTCTCGATTTTATGCATGCATTTCTTCATTGCTTAACAAGCCAGAACTACATAGCGAAACTCGGGACGAGAATCAACGTTTTTTTGGTTATTGAATCAAATTTCTCTTGATATTATTTTAAGAACATCTTTTCATATTTATAAAACTATTCAACGAGAATTTCTGATCCTTTATACGGCCTGATAAATGCGTAAGGTTTTTAAGCCACTTTTGAAAATAAGAAAGGAAAATACTAACATACCTTTAGCTAGCAACCAGATGTCAATTTCTGATAGAGAAAAGATAAACCACAGGCAGCCACTACACAGTAAAAGACCACATGACCCCCCAGTGGACAAAAAGGGAGAAGAAAACATAATTTGCTTAATCAGCACTATATATACGAGTCCTTCAAAACAGACTTTGCCCGTTACGGAAAAAATATAGGTCGGAGTAAGCGTCGTGCAAGAGAAAAAAGGCCTTGTAGGCAATTACCAAATCCCGTTCTTTATACTTTTACAAGAAGGGTAAAATATGTTTCGTGGAAAGCGTGAGTCAGGGCTTATCAACTCTTTCGCAGTATTTTCTTAATTTTACTACACAATCAGTGAATAACAATCGAAAAATACTACTTTGTTTTAAATGGTTAGTCAACAAGAATTGGACCTCTTGGGCCTGTGTGTGTGTGTGTGGGGGGGGGGGGGGGGGCGGGGAAGGCCCCCCGTGGGCCCCCCCCCCCCTCCCCCCCGGGGGGGCGGGTTTTTGTTTTTTTTTTTTGCCTTTTTTTTTATTTGAGGGTTGCCTGAATTGCCCTCCGTTGTGCGGGGGGGGGGGCGGCCAGGAGGAGACACAGGTTCCCTTCTCGGGATTTCTGTACAGATGTGGTCGTTTATTTTTTTTTTTTAGAAGGATGTGAGAAAATGTGGTGCGGGTGGGGGGGGGGTTGGGGGGGGGGGGGGGGGGGGGGGGGGCGCGGGGCACGCGCCCCCCCCGCCCCCCCCCCCCCCTTCACCCTGATGGGCCTGATTTCTGCTTATTATTTCTGCCTTATTTCTGATTTAGAGGTTACCTGCATGGTCCTCAGTCGAGCGTGGGGAAGGCTGCCAAGAAGATAGAACAGTTCCCTCTATCGTGGTTTCCGACCAGCTCTGGACATTTGAGATATCATCTGAATAAAAATAAGAGAAACAAGGACTGTTACAGAACTCAGGTTTTTGGTTTTCTAGTTTGTGAGTACGAAAATTTAAGTGTCAAACAGAAAACTATGTGAACAGTTAAGAGTGTAATTTCACTTTTTGTGAACAGTTAACTGCAATTATCTGCATTACAAGATACAACGGGTCTTTTCCTTCACCAAAAGTTTTAGGTAATCTCTGTAGTTCTTCAAAGATGAGAGACTGACCTGAACTTTAAAAGTAGCTGCCTTCATCAACAGGTTAAGTCATATATATCACTCAAATTAAAATACTATAAATCAAAAATTGACATTCGTACCGTGAATACAGCTGGTCATCTTGTGAAAGAGGTCTTTTATCTGTTTCTCCCAGTTGTATTTCTTGGCGTACAAATCGCGCAAAGTTTTTACTTCTTCAAGTCGAATTTTCTCGTCCTTGGCCCACATTTTATTGATGGCTGTGGTCCAATCCTTAGGGTCATCTGAGTTTACAACAAAAAATGAACCAAATGGAACACTGCACAGAGCTTCTGCAAAACCCGAGTTTCGGCTGACGAGTACAGGAAGTCCAGCTGACATAGCCTCAAGTCCGGTCAATCCAAAGCCCTCTGTTCTTGAAGGCAGGAGTACAAGATCAGCTTGATGAAACATGGACATTAAACCCACTCGGTCTTTAACAAATGTTTTGACCCTCAAGAGACTTGATTTAACGCCACATCCGGTTAACTGCTCCTCTATTTTTTCATGTTCTCCATCTTTCGCTCCAACAAACTCGAGAACAGTATCTTGTAACGCAGCAACCGCTTTCCCAGCAATGTCCAGTCCCTTTAGTTTGAAATCTTCAGCGTCCCCTCGACCAAACACCAAGACACGGCGTTTTTTTTGTTCTTCCACAGTCTGACTCACCCTGATAAATTCTTCAAATATTCCAGGAGTGAAGTCTACTACACGTTTATCGCGCCCACGAAGATACCTTCGGAAAGCCTCACTCAACTTGGATCCAACTCCTACAACAAGGTCCGCCATTTCACACAACTCCACCTCAATCTTATGCTTTTCTTCACCCTTGGAAATTGGGCTGGAATAGGTCTTAAACATTCCAAGTTCTTCTGGGTCTGTGTGTACCACTTGAACCCATTTGCATTTCTTAGAGTCTTTAATGGATTGTGCGTGGCGACCAAGTTTTACCCCATGACCAACGATTATGTCGATTTGCAATTCCTCTGGTGGAAAGCTAAGCCAATCCAGTTCTTTAAAGCCAGGTTTTCTTGATGCCTTTACGATCTTGACTTTGTGTTGGAGGGCTGACTCTTCATCTTCTTGATTACATTTTGGAAGAAAGAAAGTGATGTCAGCCTCACGGAATTTAGCTAACCGAATAGCTAATTCCCGGTTTATGGTTGACAGCCCTCCTTTGCTTGATCCCCATTCAGATGCCAAAAAAGTGATTTGTACTTTGCGGGAACCTTCTTGCCGGTCATGGTTTTGAGTTTTCCGTGAATAAGATGCCATTTCAAAGCATGGTCAGAGTGGTTAAACGTCTGAAAAATAGAAATAAAAACATGGCAAATGATTAGGAAAATTTAAATCAAAAATTGGTAAAACTGATGATGACGACTGAAGTCTTGAAGGCAAATTATCAAGAAAAGGAAAAGAACTAAGAACTAACTAAATTAATCTTATTAATATTTTGGAAATGACAATGTAAATTTACTTTAGGTAAAACATTGTTTATTGTTACATGGTGTTATTTTAATAACAAGTATTTACTGAATGAAAATTTCTGTACTTTCATATTTATTACTTTGTCAAATCAGGACAGTTGATAGCCAATCAGATTTGAGAATTTTGTTATAGTTATGATTAACGAACAAATCATTATACTTTTAGATTTTTAAGTGAGAAGAAAATAAGCATGCGTTTATTGGTCAGCTGGACATTGGCCAATTTCCTCCTTCCTTCTTCAATGGACAGAGACGAAGTCAAGGTCAATAAAAATGCAGAAAAGAACGAGGCCAATATCCAGTGGTCGATAAATTATTTTTTATATGGCCAAAAAACCTTTTTCTTGCAATGCAGGAAATCCCAAGCGGGCAAAATGGACCTTTAACTGCCGAACAGAGTACCGTGCCAAGAAGAGTACAACGCATAAATTATGACAAATTATGAAATACCAATTAAAATACCTGAATCGACGCGATGACAACATAATCACAAAGCTCTGACCTCGGAATCCAATTAAATTAGTCTCAAATGGGTTTAAAGAGTTTTAAAGGGACTTTAAATTCTCGACAATTACTGTGTAAACGAAAACTCTTTTAGCCAAATGATTAAGTTTTATTTATTCATCTACCTGTTCGAGTAAAATAAAGTTCCCGATTAACATTCCGAAATACTATTATTTGGTCATAGAGCATTTGAGATAACACGTTCTTGTGTGTCTGGAATATAAACTGATATTCAACCACGTTAAATGTTATTAACTTTAAAATCATCTGTCACACATTCCCTGTTACATCGCCGCGTTGAGTATTTAGAACTAAACAAGCGAAGCAAAATAAGTGCAGATTTCAGGTTATGTAAAATATTAATGCGAATTTATTTGGAACTTCATATGACTTAAAAAAAGCGAAATGTCGGTAGACAGGAAAGGGGAAAATGACTCGTTTAAAAGGCCAATCACGCAATCATTCAACCCTCAATCAATGACCCGGCAGAATTTCATCACGCCTATGAACGGGTTCAAAATTCTGCACCTGATCTCAGTACTTTTTAGCTAATGAAGTTTTTTTCTATGTGTTCTGAAGGTAAATAATTAAAAACTCAAAGCCAAAAAGGGGGGAATCCAAAAGTGCATGTATCAAAGCAGAAAATTGTAAGACTTGAGAACGTAAATGGACTTCTGGAGAATGAGTAAAGGACAGCCTAAGACAACAGGTAAAAAAGTTACAACTTTTATTAGATTTGTTATACAAAGCAGCAATTTCTGGAAATTAAATTTCCATTAATGAGAATAGGCCTTTTACAAAACAGGTTGCTATTTAAAACGGAAATAATATTTATAACAGGCCTACTAGGATAAAATGTTTGTCGCGATCCACGCGCGTACTGAATCGAGGACAAAATAGAGATTGATCAAACTTGACGATTATCGAAACCTAAAAAAATGAGCGATGTATGTCCGATTTTTGTAGCATGCCGTGTATATAGAGTTCGAAACAGAGAATGATCAAACTTGACTTTTTTCACTTTGTAAAGCAAAAAATGTACGATAAGTCACATTTCTGCGGCGTGCCAAATAGACTTCGAGTTAAAGAATGATCAAATTTTCTGTCTTAAAACCTGAAACTGAGTCAGCGATGAAAGTCACATTTTTGTTGGGTGCCGAATAGCGTGTGAGGCAGAGAATCAGACCAAAGCTGCCCTTTTTTACCCTGTAAAACCTAAAAAGTGTACGATGTATGTCACATTCCTGCTGCGTGCCTAAAGAAAGTACGAGATAAAGAATAATCAAAGTTGACTGATTTCACTCTTAAAACCTGAAAAATCTACGATGTATGTCACATTTTGTCGCGTGCCAACGGTACGAGAGAAGAATAACCAATGTTGCCGTTTTTTACTCTGTAAACCAGAAAAAAGTGCGATGTATGTCACATTTCTTCTGCGTGCCGAATAGAGTACGCGATAAAGAATGTTTAAAGTTGCCAGCTTTTTTCACTCTGTAAACCTAAAAATTGTACGATATATGTCACATTTCTGCTGCTTGCCGAGTAGAGTACGAGTTAAAGAATGATCAAAGTTGACGGCTTTTTTCACTCTGTAAACTTGAAAAATTTACGATGTAACATTTTTGTCGCGTGCCGAATAGAGTACGAGATAAACTATAAAGAATGATCGCACTTGACTATTTTGAAATCACTTTTAAAACCTGAAAATGTACAATGTTTGTCACATTTCTGTTGCGTGCCGAATAGAGTACAAGATAGAGACTAACCAAAGTTAACTATTTCACTCTGCAAACCAAAAAAATGTACGATGTATGTCACATTTCTGCTGCGTGCCGAATGAGTATGAGATAAAGAATGGTCGAACTTGACCTTTTTTACTCTGTAAACCGAAAAATAATGTACGATGTGTGTCAAATTTAGCCGGGCTGCGTGCCGAATAGAGTACGAGACAGAGAATAACCAAAGTGAACTATTTCACTCTGCAAACCAAAAAAGTGTGCGGCGACGTATTTTGACACATTTCTGCTGCGTGGCGACTAGAGTATGAGATAAAGAATGATCACACTTGACTATCTTCACCTTTAAACCTGAAAAATGTCCGATGTTTGTCACATGTCTGCTGCGTGCCGAAAAGAGTACGAGATCGAGAATGATCAAAGTTGACTTTTTTCACTCTTTAAACTAAACAACTGTAGGATGTTGGTTTGCTGCGTGCTGAATGGTGTACGAGATGGTTGAAGGAAGCCTATTAATATAAGCTTCAAGCTTCGTTAGGCTTCCTTGTCACATTAATTTTATAATTTAACTAGAACCACAGTTCAGTGGGGCACGGGATTGCATAGATATAGTTTACCTCTCGCACCCCTCCCCCCTCCTCTGTGGAGGCTCATACTTAGTCTGAATTAACTCATGCAGAAGAAAAGCAACAAAATGCATGAGAAAGGAGGATGTTGTCGTAAGTTTGTTCAGTGTTATTACAGCTAACGGTCTGTGTTATAGTAGTGTTTTTACACTGTGATGTCAATAAGTGTGATCTGTATAAGGTTTTTATTTGTTTTTAAGTTTGAGTGAAAAAGCAAAAATCACTGACAGTTTTCGGTTGAATGGTAATGACAAAGTTTGCAAAGAAGTTTGTTACAGAATTATCACAATTTCACATTTTCTCAAGTACGTTATCGTCAGGTTTATCATTGAGCTTTATTAATCACATTTATCTATTTTTTGCGAAAACACTGTGAATTTAAAATGATAACAGACATAAGACATTTTTGAAATAGATCTTTGTGGTCATGGATTGTTGTCTTGCACTGTAAAAAATGTCATCCAGTGTTATATATGGCCATAATAAAATGCTTATTTATTGATGACTGAGTATCATTTGTTAATTCATTGCACATTGAAATGGAGGCATTTGATTGTAAGGCAGTGGTTGATACATAGTGGCATTCATCAATATGACCTATAGTAATTGTAGAGGAAGTATTTCTTTCCTGAACTGGGTAAACAGTAGTAAGTGGT